GGGTTCCGTGGGTGGCGGGGCGGCGCTGGCCTGGCCCCGGCGGTATGTCTGTGCTCCCGCGTCTTCACCGGCGGCCTCATCGCATCCGTCTGCAGTTGCTGTGGTTAATTACTTTAACTAGAAAAAAAAAAAAAAAAAAGGGGGGGGGGGGCGGGCAGGGGATGTGATGATGCTGTCTATAGGCAAATACAGAAGGCAAAGCAACTGGCCAGACAGCAGGCCTTAAGGAAGGGATGTGGGGTCAGTGTATATGGCAGGTTGCAAAGAGGGCATAAGCCTATAGTATTGAGACAGTGCAGAAAAGATAAATTATCATATTGAGGATACGTGGTCAGGGAGGTGGTTTGATGACCAGTACTGGAGTCTTTTGCTGTGTCTGGTAGTGGTAAGGTTGGGGTAGAGCAGTATGGTGGAATAGCTGGATATTGTAAAAACAGCCTAGTGTTTTGCTGCATTTAAAAAGATTTGCCTTTCAAAGAAAAAAACGAATGTAAGTTTTGTATTACTTTCGCATCTATCTTTTTAATTTTACTCTTTTCCAAGTGATGTAAGTAATCTGTAGTGTTGGCTCAACTAGCGAAATGCCTGTGTGGTAGACAATCTGTCACTTTTTTTTTTAAGACACCATCATGAGTAGAAAGAAGGACTTGGTGGATGATCATAGTGACAAACTTCACAGAAAAATGAAAGCTATAAGGTATGTGAATCTTGAGATTAGTGGGTTTGATGTTTTTAATCTGTTATTCAAATTAATAAATTATTAATTATTTAAATAATTATTTAATTTATATTCTGACAGTATATCAAGAAATAGTACTGAGGAAATGTAGAAAATAATGTTTGTATTTTGCGCTGTTGCAAATGAGCCCTTTTTTATGTCTTATATATGTAAAACATAGTTTGTGGAACATTTTAGTATTTGGTGTAGGGAAAAAGACATTTTAAATGCATCTTGGGATGTTGTCAGATACTGAGATAGTAGGCTACCAATGTCTCATATTGATCTGTATGTATATTTTGCAAGTAAATAAATCGTTGTTGATCATTATATTTTTAGCTAAATAACGATAGAATGAATGTGATTAAAACTTTTAACAGTTTGTTAATGCTGGTTCTAGTTAGCTTGAATGCAGCATACCCAAAAGCTTCTAGTACCACCTTTACTGATAATGAATTCAGTATTGTGGAGGTAAATTGCTTCTCCTCCAGTTAAATGAAGGTTAACAGAATCTTTGTGTGTATGGTGTGTGTGCTTCATTAATTGCACCTTCTTCATAAAGCCATATGGTCTAAGTGGGCAAGCTTAGTTCTAAGAGAGCTGGAAATCAGAATTTGTGTTTGGTTAATATCCCTAATGATTTTAAATCTTTTTCTTCTGAAGGCAATGTCTTAAGGTACTAGAAGAGGACTTTACAGAACCATATCAGAAAAACAGCGATTCTTACCATGCGTTAAAAGCTATGAATGTGAAAGGTAAGGCTTTTGGATTTTATTTTCATCAATTTTGCAATATTCAGTATTCACTGATAATTAATATTTTATATGGTCTGTTAAAGATGATAGATGTGTTGCCAGATTTAATTAATACATTGTTTATTTACGTTTCCAGTACTTGGCAAGAACAACCAATACCTTTCTCTTCCCGTCCTGTTTTTCTTGGCAAAGCTGCTGACAAGTTTGTTTTAAAAGAAACCTCACTTTTTCTGGAATTTTCTGCTTGAGTATCTTTTTTCCAAAAGTTGAAAAATTGTGTTGAGTACCTAGTATTTATGGATGCTTTATGAAACAATTTTTTTCCTGTACTATAGGTACATGTTTTGAATGTGTTCTGGTTTTTGCCTTCCCTTTCATGTGTTTATCCTCTTCTGAATGTGGCAGCAATGTAATATAGCTAATCATGCAGATAATACCCTAATCATTAAATTCAGTAAGTCTTTGTAATTCCCAGACAACTTCCACACCTATTTATCTGAACTCCTAGTTTTCAGGTTCTGGCATTACAAAAGTCAATGTCCAAAGTCCTGTTGACTTGATGAATGCTACTTAGAAGAGTACTCTGATCATGTATGCCTGTACAGTTAACAACATTCACAGTCAAGTGTTTCCTGTGTTTGCTTTTGCAGCGATGTGTGATGATGTGAAGGATGAAGACACTGATTTTTTTGGTTTCTCTTCTACAGAAGTAAGTTGACCTAAAGCTTTCTGTTCAGTAGTCACTGTGATGGTCTAAGACAGTGATAACTCAAGATCTTCTGTGTTTTCATTGGAAGTGATTAAAGCAATCTCGGGTCCTCTCCGAGGTAGGGGCCTGCACTTTATAACCACCTACTCCCTAGCAAATCTTTGCTAGCATTTATTTATTATGAAATGTACCTATGTAGTGTGCATCTGGTGTCCAAATTTTGGTTTTAGAAAGGTGGTTTTTTTTTTACAGTTCTCATTAGTGCCCCATGTTGCCAGTTTCATTCCACCCTCTCATTGGCCCATAATATGCCAGAAAGCAATGAGTGCATATGTACAGGATTTTTTTAAAGAAAATATTTCCCTGTCAACTCCCAAAGAAAAGGTTTTAAAAGATTATTTAAAAGAAACAAAAATAATTTTGTGTAACTTAAGAATATGTTTCTGTATTTTTTTAAAAAAAAAGCTCTGCTTGTGAATCTTTTCTGGGTAATGCTAATGCCATTTGTTTTCCATAAATCTGTATTTGGACAAAAATTAGGTGCTTTTCTCTATTTTTAATTAATGTAAAATATAGGTTGTGGCCATTCTCTTTTTTCTGTTTTGAAATTTAGGTTTAGTCTTTATTGCAAAATACAGGTAAGTCAAATCTTTGGGTTCAGCCCTGTCGTTAAAGTTTATTGAAAGAAAAGTTGTAATCAGGGTCAGTAATGTGATATGTTAGAAGTTTTGCATAACAGTGGGAAAAATACGAATAGCAAACAGGAAATTGACATTCCTTTTATTAGGAACACTTCACTTACCACGAAGATACTGATGGCTACAGAGCTGCAGCCTGGAAGCTGTTTTCATACACCTCTCAATTCAACAGTCCTTGCTTTGAAGCTCTTCCTTTCATTGAAATGAGGGTGGGGTGGGTACTGAATGTGAAAATGGGCTTACAAAACATTTTTTTATTGGGTCTTGGATTTAACTTGCTTTACTTTTTTCCTCTGAATTTAGACCAAAACTGATTTTAAACTTGGACTGTGCAGTGGCAACTCACAAAGGCTAGCAAGGTAAACCTTTCTTAGCTTAACTGGTTTTTATGTGTTTAAATGCCAGACAAGGGGAAGACTTGATGGAGTAAGCATTTTCATCTGGTTTTCTTTGAATTTTTTTTTTGTGTGTGTGTGTGTTCTTTAAACTTTACTGATTTGTTCTCAGTATGGGTGTGTAGTAGTATGGGAACACAACTTGCTTGACACTTGAGTACAAATACTGAATTGAAAGGCAGCAAGAAACAGATTGGTTTGGTTTGAAAATGTTTGTAACTGAAAGGTTTAAGCACTGGTAAATCCCTGATAAGAGTTCAGAAGGAGAGAACTGCTGAAATACCAGGCTGTAGTAGGAGGGACTGTATCACTGAAGTGCCACTTCCCCCCCACAATGCTGCTCCCATTGCATCTTCTGCTTAGATAACCAGTCACAGCTGTAAGGATTAGATGCCATCAATGTTCTCTGGTATTGTCATATCTAAATTGCCTTCATTTGCTTATTTGTCTAGCCTAAGTAAACTTGAAGGAAGTCTTAAAGTGGGTGTCTTTCCCTGCACTACTGTTGCTGTGGAGATGCATGTTGATACAGATCAGAATAGGCCCAAATAATTGTCACAGATCTTTTACATGAAGGATCTGTTTTATACAGATCTGTTCTGTAAGGGAAGTATAGGAAATATATCTTCTGAGATTGATGCATGTGATGTACATTGCTAACCTTGCCCAAAATAAAATAGAAGCTTTAGATTTCACGTCTGGCTCTGCATCAGTGCTCTCCAAGTCATCTCACAGTCCCTCAGAAACAACAAACAGCACAAGAACAACAACACAGCACTTCCTTCCTGTAATTAGGCTGGTTTATGCAGACTGTTTTTTGAGAGTTTTGACAGCTGTTTAGATCCCATTGTACCTTGCAGAAGAGCAGGTATGGGTGACCATATAACAGAATTTAAGAGCCTTCCTGATAGGTTGTCAGTAGATGATATTAGTATAATCTGTCATGTATTCTAAAGATTTTTAACAGCCTAATCAATATCTGATAGCTGAAAGAAAATATTTGAGCAACAAATGAAAAAGGAATCCTGGGGTGTTAGTGTCGGAGAAGGGAGACGCGGACACCAGTTGGTCATCAGCAAGTCTCGTTTATTAGTTGCTTATGATCGCTTAAATAGCCGTGTTAATCAGCTCATACATATTGCAAAATTCTAGCTCATCATTGGTTAATTGCTGCTGTCCACGCGCTCAGGCTGCTTTTGTGATTGGAGAGAGTGTACTGATCATGTTCCATGTCGTAAGCCTTGCTAAGCAGTTTCGTTTCTTGTTAGTTTCGTTTCTTGTTAGTTTCTCCGCAGAGTCTGCAATTCTTCTAGTTGTAGCCTGTTCCTTATCCTGTAGATAAGAAGTCCTCGTGCTGCGGGGTCTACGTGCCGAAGTCTGAGTGCTCCTCTGGGCCTGAGGCCAGGT